GTGAGCCATGAAGTCTAGAATGAAGTTTTCTGTACCTTTAGGACACTTACATACCACAAATGTAGTAATAAGCTGTTAACAGCTGTCAAGCAACATCAAAAATGTGTATCTTCATAGCAAATCTGAAATCATCTGAAAAATCTGAAACCAACAACAGTGGAAGGTAAAGCACTGATGATCCTGAGATTGTGTGCATGTGTTTTTCTGAATTTATGTTTATCCTGAAAATAAACACACTGTTAAGAGGATATCAGGTGAGTCGTTGATGAGTGTGTGAGAGTTCGATGTTCCTCTTATTACACGGCTACTCAACAAATAAATACTTGACATTATTTTTTTTATTTATTTTCTTGCATTATTAATAAATGAGGGAATTATAGGAATCATTCAATACAATTATTTCAAGACAAATACTATTTATAAAGGTTAATAAATTCTGTAGAGGTAAAAGTTTAAAATATGCCGAATATTTTATACATTATACTGTATATATGACAAAATTATTACAATTTAATTGGTTTCATAATGAAGTAACCAATAAAAATGTAAAAAAATAAAAAAATAAATAAATTATCCTGATCGGTCGTAAAACATTTAAATGTACTTGTAGTGTGTAGAACACTTTTCATTATGGGACATTTTGTGGGCTCGAATGAGAGGAGGCTCTGTCATTCAGAACATACTGTAAAATGACGTGATTAGTGAGCCATGAAGTCTAGAATGAAGTTTTCTGTACCTTTAGGACACTTACATACCACAAATGTAGTAATAAGCTGTTAACAGCTGTCAAGCAACATCAAAAATGTGTATCTTCATAGCAAATCTGAAATCATCTGAAAAATCTGAAACCAACAACAGTGGAAGGTAAAGCACTGATGATCCTGAGATTGTGTGCATGTGTTTTTCTGAATTTATGTTTATCCTGAAAATAAACACACTGTTAAGAGGATATCAGGTGAGTCGTTGAGTGAGAGGTGAGAGTTCGATGTTCCTCTTATTACACGGCTACTCAACAAATAAATACTTGACATTATTTTTATTTTTTATTTTCTTGCATTATTAATAAATGAGGGAATTATAGGAATCATTCAATACAATTATTTCAAGACAAGTACTATTTTGAGCAAATTATTTCCGCATGACGTTTCAGCAGTTGGAACTCGCTGAGTTTAAAGTTACAATCTCGGAATTCTGACATTGCACCAAAACGTAACTAGCAGCACAGATAAATTGATCTCCCCCTTTCTTTTACATTCTCTGGACCTCAAACTAGACTTTGAACAAGGCTGCTTCTAAATGTGATAACAGGGAAACGTTATCCTCCGTGGTGGCTGTGAATGATTAAGCAGCTTGTGTAAACCACTCTCTCTCCATCGCTCTCATTTTTTTCTGTCCTGGCTCTTTTACGTCTTACATTAACCATTTTTGTTTTACAGTTATTTATGAGACTGTATTTATAAACCAATATGATCATATTTTCCCTCTCTCTGTTCTTCTTCTTCCTGCACTACACTGTACTCCGCCAGCCACCCTCCTCTCTCTGTCTCTCAGTATCAGTTGGTGATTAAGTATTGATATCAGTCTCAAGTGTCTCATATGATACTAGCCAAGCGACAGTACGCACCCACCCACACACACACACACACACACACACACACACACGCGTTCAATACTACCCTAAAATTACATGTAAATGTGGAATTGTGAACAAATGACAGACAGTAAATAAGTCCTGGTAAAGGTTCTGAGTCAGATCCTTCTGTTTGTGTTTGCTACAAGCATGAGAGTACAGGTATAATTGTGTAGATTTACATCACACTTCATTTCTATTTGTAAATGCGATCAATAAATAATTCTGTTTATGAAGTCAGTTGCCTTTATGTCTACACAGGTGTTCCAGCAGAGTCACTACAGGTGTAGTTCATCAACTATTATACATATTCCAAATGCCTGACTTTAAACAAATAAAATAAAAAATGAAAATTCGTAAAGTTATGTAAGTTCAGTTTGATTAAAAGTTAGTGTCAGTAAGGTTTTTTTTGTTTTAAAGAGTTTAATACTTTATTATTCAGCAATGCATTAAATTGGTTAAAAATGACAGTACATATTATTACAGAAATTCTATTTCAAATAAATGAAATAAATCAACATAATAATAAATGTTTCCTGAGCAGCAAATCAGCATATTAGAATGATTTCTGAAGGACCATGTGACACTGAAGACTGGAGTTATGATGTTGAAAATTCAGCTTTGATCACAGAAATAAATTCGATTTTAAAACATATTAAAATATATTATTTTAAATAGTAATAATACAATATTACTGTTTTACTGCATTTTCAATTAAATAAATGCAGCCTTCGTGAACATAAGAGAGTTATTTAAACAAAAAATAATACAATTTAGCATTGCATCACTTGCTCAGCAATGGATGCTCTGCAGTGAATGGGTGCCGTCAGAATGAGAGTCCAAACAGCTGATCAAAACATCACAATAATCCACAACTAATCCACTACAGTCTATCAATTAACATCTTGGCAAGTGAAAAGCTGTGCTTTTGTCAGAAACAGATCCATTATTTGTGTGTTTTAAACCATTGCTTCTGGCCAAAATATCAGTACATAATCCATGGGTGAGCATAATGAAACATGGGTGAATTCCAAGTTGCATAATACTACAGTGAAAAAACATTTAATGCATCCTTGCTAAATAAATATATTACTTACTTAAATATATAAAATAAAAATAAATAAAAAATCTTACTTAAAGAAGTGTACATATACATGTATGAAATATTGAAAGATTTATAAGAACAATATAATAGAGAGAATAAGAAAAAGAGCAAGCTTGTGTTAGAAACAAATGCTTAATTTATCAATCACTCATTCTAAATCTTAAATACCACTTGGTACCCGACAGTCATGGCACTGCAATTCTGTCTGTCTGTCTCTCATTCTCTCTATCTCTCTCTGCATGTCAGACTGGTTTCGATTCACTTCTCTCTTTCTTCTTTTCTTTTCTTTTATTCTTAGGGGCTGTTTAAAAAAGAGATGTTTGTTTAACATGTCTGATCAAATTTGTGTTTGGATTTAGACCCAGAAAAGGAATGGTTACAAGTGGACTTAATGGTTACAACGTGGTATTATCATTGGATGGGCAAATAGAGATTACAATGCGGTGTTGACGAGACAGTCCCAGGAAACCTTGAGCAACTTTGTATTTAACTGTCTGTAAATGACTGTTCCTATAGTTATATTGCAACCAAGTGAATGTCATTGCCTGTAATTACATTTGGTGAAACTCTGTTAACCACAAAGTCATAATGTGATGTTCAGCACAGGAAATATGTTTATATATGTCAAACACTTAACATTCTTACCCTAAAAAATATAAGCAAATATTGCATAACGTTATAAATACCTAACTGAACCTGACTAATCCTGCTAATCTAACAGTAGGGCACAAAGGGCTTGGACCAATCAATGATGACTCTGAGTAATGGCATGCAAGGAAATTTAGATAAAAGACACAGGAACAAATGGTTAGGATTTTGTTGGTTAGCATTAGCCAGTTAGCCCCTGCTAGCAGATGCCATTCTGACGTAACTTCACCAATCAGAAGTAGAAATGTATGATGAAATTGTGTCATCTCATGTCTTCTTGACAATTGCGACTGAGATGAATGGAAATGCTATCAGTCTTTTGATATTATAGATCTCTTTGAACCTATCAAATACCACACCCTCTATTAAGTAGGCTACAAAGAAAGAACACTGGATAATCCAGTCTGGATTTATTTTACAGGTCAGGGAACTTCATTCTGAGTTAAAGACTTATTTAATAATTTTTGTTTGTCTTCATAACTAAAAAGGCAAAACAAAGGTTGTACTTCCTGGGACATCTCAAGACGTTCATCATCGCATGTTTCCTGACATAATCCATAACTGTCTGGTACAGGGGTCAGTCATGGCATCTGACTTTGGCTACGGTCTGCCCATTTGAATCAAGATTCAGGAAGAGGGCAATCCAGATCATCAGCAACCCCATAACCATATTCAGCTGGTGGCTGAATCTGTTCATTTTAAATACATGGGGCACTTTTCTTTTCATCTTTTTTTTTCTTTTTCAGTCACTTTTTTGACCCTTGTTTGTATGTCTAAAGGGTTGGGGTTCTAAACTGTGTAACGCCCACAGAAGCACTGCACAGAAACTAGTGTTGGGGGTAACTCATACAAGTAATGCGAGTTACGTAATCAGATTACTTTTGTCAAGTAACTAGTAAAGTAACGCATTACTTTTTTAATTTACAAGAAAATATCTGAGTTACTTTTTCAAAAACGTAATGCCAGTTACTTTGTTTTCCCATTTATTGACTAAGTAACGTAATTAGTTACTTTTTTAGGGAGTAACGCAATATTGTAATGCATTACTTTTAAAAGTAACTTTCCCCAACAGTGACAGAAACATGAGCCGCACCAACTGAAAAGAATCATCAATGATTCAAACACAATCCTCATGTTCTAATTCTCTCTCTTTCTTCCTCTCTCACTAACACGCACGCGCATAAACACAAAGGCGTCATTTGTCCTGTAAAAAAATGGCCTGTACCCACCTTCATCTAAGAACTATGAACTTTTGGTGGAAAATTATTCTGTTTATTTCAAAAGTTTTCACTTTTATGCTTTGAAAACTTATTTTAGGGACTACATTAGTGGGCTGCTTAACTTAGGAACTCGTGAAAATGAAGTTTTAACAAGTATTGTGAGCTGGTCCTTAACATTATCATAACAGAACGCTTAATTTTCGATTTCTTTTTTTTAACTATAGCCTGTAAACAACTAGTAGGCACTCAACATAGCCTATTGTTAGCGAGTATTGTTTAGTTGACGTTAAAGGTGGAATGATGTTTATTATCTTCAGAAGTTGTGTCAGTGATCCCTGTGAGTCATATTTATAGCACAGCTCTGCCTAAATACAAGCGCGCGTGATGACGCACCTCAAATGCAAATATACCTGTATCGAAAGAGCAAACGACGCACCTGACGCTTCTCGTGGGATTTGAGGGAAGGCCGAAGTCTTTCTATTGTTCTAGCGTTTACACTGCTCGACCACTCCCTGCAGTGGCTGTGTGAACTGAGGTTTCGCATATCCCGCCCTCCCTGGAGTTCTGATACACAACGCCCCATCTCATTGCCATTGGGAAAACCACCTCGCCTGTTGTGGCAAACGGGGCAGTTTTAACCGTCCAACACCATTTGTGGATTTATGTAAAAGTGTCAGAAGCTCAGGAGAGCGAGGGGACGTGAATTTCAGACTTTCGGACACCGATCTACCGGGTTCACCTGTACAGGTAAGCGGCGAAGGGCGGTGTTTCAGTTTAGAGACAGGTGTTACTCGCAACATTCAGTGAGTGCGGATAAATGAGCCTTCGCTATTTTTCCAGGCAGAGTACACTTAGGCGTGCCCTTTGGGTTCTGGGTTATTTTAAGGAGATGACTGACATTTAAAAGGCTCGCACTGCTGCATGTAACATGTTTTGAGGCTCGAGTTCATGATAGGGCTTTTCTATAATACAGTAGCCTATCATGGTATAACCGAGTACCTGTCACATGATGTTTTTAAATAGTTTCCCCATTTGCCTTGACCAAAACCCTGTTTTTTTTCATTAAGATGTAAAAAAAAAAAACCTTAATGACCTTGACACAGCCATGAGGGTTTAAAGGGGTCTTCTCTGTTTTATGGCTTTCTTGCCAACAACATGGCTACCTGCATGCATGGTTATGCTACACTCATTATGTAGACAAAGTTTTTTTCAAATATGTATAATTTAATACTATAGTTAAGATATAAAACAAATAAAAACAAATGGTAATGCCAAAATATAAAAAATGATCAAAACATAAAATTTACATAAGCTACTTTGAAAAATTGATAATCGTTTCATTATAGAGCATGTGTACATAACTTAATAGATCCAGGCCAAAAAATGAGCATGCTCAACCTGGGTGAATGCAAGCACGGTTGTGCTAATATTAATGCCATGCACAGTTAAATTTTTCCTCAAGATCGATCACTAAAAATTGATACATCCTCCAGTCCTCACTTTAGTGCTGGGTGAGTGTCCCTTTTAATGTAATGCAAAAAAATTAATAAGAATAAAAAAGTAATATGAAAAACTCTCACCACTTATACCACACATACAGCTCTAATTTCTCGAGAAAGATGTTTGATTTAGTAAATGTGTGTATGTGTGTGGCAGGGGGAAGGGAAGATCCTGTTAGACCAGTTTAAAGTCTTTTGCTCCATGAGCACCTGCTGCTTGGACTCCACTTTACAATCGACTGTCATGATACCTGTGTGTATATGGTGTGAAATTCTAGAGAAAAGTATAGGTTTAATCAGAAAAGGTGTGATCGCAGAAGTCTAATGTGGCTGGGTTTTTATGGTTTTGTTGATCATTTGGTTTTGAACAGATATTTCTCCTTCACTCTTTGTGTGAGATATTATTTTTATACACACACCAATCTTATCTGTTTTCCATGACATTTGGATTAGTACCGTAAGATATGATCAGCTGTTTTGTCCTCTTGTGAATAGAGGACATCTTTTCCTTGAAAAGGATGTGGCCTAGTGGCTTTTGCATTCCTTTGCATATTAAAAGTCCATTCGAACTCTCTGAACCACACGCAAAGCATCCATTAGCCAATCGCTTATTCTCACTAACGTCATTTTTTCCAGGTATGTAGTGTCTTTAGTGGGGGTCTTAGATGGGGGTTTGTTCATTAAGCTCCAACTGAGTTAAGTAGCATAATCTTTCTACTATGTAAGGTTCTAATGAGGTTGTTACTGGACGCCAAGTAGGCCTATTTCATTTGTGTGACCATAGTGAAACATTCGAGATTTTGATAAGTTCATTTGTTGCCTAATTTAGCAGAAAAAGGCCTATCACGGTCAGTTCACCACAGCTGATTTTATGAATCGTGTACTATTTATTCAGTCTTAAAGTATCAAAAATAAAACAAAAAGCACATAAAATATGCCTTGTTTGATGAATATAAAAAGCTTGTTTTCATGAGCAGGGAAATCCACCATTATGGTTAGAGAAACCCAGACACCCCTAATACACATTCGCTCTGATCACACTGTATGAGCTGTTTGTATTTGCTCTTTGATTGTCTGGGTGTTCATTCTCCCTTATCAGGTATCACAATCATCATAATGTGTCACGTGACCAAAATGCTCATGTGTTAATGCGTCTTTAAGGCATGTAAAATGCCATGATGATAACATCTAGCTATGCCTACTTATGTAGATAACCCCTGACTCCTAGAAAGTTCCTGTTCATCTGCTTTTAGTCTGACACATGCACTTTAAATGTAAAATTCAGTGTTTCTCGTAAAAATATGTTACTGTCTGTTTAATGAATACATAAAGAGATGAAATAGTGCTAAATCACAAACACCCTTAAGTATAATATTGTTTTCCTAAAAGTACGCAGGTCTTAACCTACATGGCAAACAAATTAATATTACTCCAAGCTTTTGGCTATGACATCAAAACCTGGGCGTTTATTCATCCAATATTCACTTTTTTTGGCCATTTAGATCCCAGAAGTTATGATAACAACAATATTAATCGGTATAAATATTTGTAAAATAGTAATATGTTATGTTTTTATTGTTTTAGTCTAATGATCATGTAGTTAGAATTGTCGTAAAGCAATATTGTATTGGTCACGAAAGGGAATATTGGTTGAATTTCAATGCAGTTTAATGCATTGTAAAATAAGTTTAGAATAGTATGGATTAATCAGGAGAATCTAATTTTATCAGGTGATGTTTGTGTGGCAGCCTAAATAACAGTGCGATCACATTATTGGTTCTATCGTTCATCTCTACGTTTTCCATGTGTTTAATAGCGAATGATTCTCCATTCTGATAGGCAGGGAAACCTGAACCGTCCATTAGTAATACAAGCTATGACGTTGCTAGGGTACAGCTTGACTCTGGCCGGGTTGCCATGGCAACCGTCAACATTCTGGTATAAAAAGGTTGTAATAGTGATAGCCCACCTGAAACTGAGAGAGCCAAATGGTGGAAGGGTCACGTTAGAAACAACAGCCGTCATTTAAAAGCAAAAGAAATGGGAAATTTACCTCAACAGCTGGCTTATATGGCCCGGAAAACATCACAGCTTCACTGTGTCTGAACACCACTAGACACCTGTTTGGTATTTACAGGTAACATTAGGGGTTTCATAGATTTATTCAACACACTCGATTTGACATGCCTTATTATTTAAGGACAGTCCTTCTATATAATTTTGGGAGCGGTTTGTAAGCCTTAAACACAACAGCAAGATTCATAGCTTCCACTTTTACTGTCAGGGACATTGCTTTTGTTTTTAGGGAGGGTTTTTCCATGCAGCACTGTTGTTTTAGCTATCTGACGGAAGAGAAATGTGGCAAACCTCATTTGGATGAACGCCCAAACGCAGACCACTCAGGGTCCTGTCTGCCTTAGAGACAATGTGGAGACATAATTTCTGAACAGAATAAAAAGTACACTTTCCCTTTACCTTTTTGTTCTTTATGTGCATCTTTGTCTTTCTCCTTTCACACATTGACATACACCTGTTTATTGGATCCCCAGGCTCATGACCTGCTGTAGGTTAAGTGCTTTAATTAAGTTGTGAGACTAAAGAGATGACAGACGAGAACACCAAAGCCTTAGGGATTGTGTTTAAAACATGTTATTAAACTCTAGGGCTGCTAAGGCATGCAGGTGTTTCCTGGGCACCAGAGCTAAATTGGTCATTGTTATTGATTCATTGTATTTTTAAGGCTCTTACAACTATACATTTTTAATTTACATGTAATTAGAATAGTCTTATGACTTAGAAGCATGAAATGTTAAAAGAGAGATTTGATGATTTAAACTTCAGAAGCAAAAATGAAAAAAAGATTTGATAAGTTTGAGTAACTTCCATGAATCAGTTCAAACCATCTCTCAAAGATTAATTTGTGTCATCATTCGAAAATGTTCATGCTAGTTCCTGTGTGACATTATTCATATATTAAACATATTCTGCAGTTTAAAAGTTTGGCGGGAGTACGTTAAAAAAAAAAATGTTTTTGAAAGAATTCTCTCAATGGCTGATTTTATTTAACACACTCATGATACCTGAATTTATTTAATACAGCGAAAACAGTAATATTGTGAAACATTATTACAATTTAAAACCGTTTCCTATTTGAATATATTTTGAAATATAATTTATTCCTGTGATGGCAAACCTGAAATTTCAGCATCATTACTCCAGTCTTCAGTGTCACTTCAGAAATCATTCTAAAATGTGGAATTCCAAGAGAACAGCATTTATTCGAAATATAAGTTTTTGTAACAATTGAATAATCTTTAATGTCACTTTTGATCTATTTACTTGTCCTTGCTGAATAGAAGCATTAATTCTTTCAACAACAACAACAACAAAAAATCAAACTGACCCCAAACGGTAATGTATATATAGGTAAATATTGTTGTTCATTATTGTATTTTGTTAAATTGCTACATATAAATTAAAATTCTGAAATATAATTCTTCCTTGTGTTCAGCTGGTTGAAAAGAGTGTGGGAAAACTTGCCTTGATTATTTTAACCAGGCCTAAAGATCATATTTGGAAAAATAAATAGGAATTGGGCACTGTGTAAACAACCCATAAACGTTTCAGTATAGTTGGGAGCATGATGTGTGAAATATGTGTGTAAAGGTAAAGTGAGTTGAATGTGTGTGTAAGTTTATGTTTGCAGAAAGCGCAGTGAACTTTGCTCATTATATTAAAGGAAACAATCCACAGTATCATAGGCCCACACATACAACCTCAGTTATGACGCACATTTTCTCAGACACACAGAGAACACAGTGTGTGTCTTGGACCGGCGGGTTGAATCAGTCACTGATTCTAAATGCTATCCCTTTGTATTTGAGCTGAAATGCTCTGTAACTACTTTAGATTTAGAAGATTTGCACTTTTATGACTATGTAAAGGGTGCTATGAAGCTGTGATTCAGGTGAATTGTCAGAGCTCAAAAAATAACAAATGCAGTAAAATTAGTAACAATCATTAACAACAACAGTTAATAACAACTATTTTTCCAGCACTTCAGGTTTAGCTCATACAATAGTACTTAATATCAGTCAGAGGTTGCTAATTTGGCCAATTCATTATGTAGCTAAAAAAACTCTTGGTCATTCTGAGGCTATGTTAACAGGTAAAACAAAAGGCTAACACCACTGTTCCCTTTTGATTGGTCTCTCCCATTGCGTTAACACTCTATGGGGAAACTCCTGTTTACTCTGATACTGAAGCCTGATTTGATCACGTTCGTGTAGCTGCATGAACTGATGGTGCTTCAACCCGCCAAAAGGGGTGAAGCAGACTGATATATAAGTCGGGTCTGAGTGCCATTTCGTCAGAATTTTCTCCTTTAGCAACGAAGATCATCTCCTCGCTGACTCTGCAAGCAGGAAGCCAAAGAGAAGAAAGAAGCTCAGCCTCCTGCTCACCGCCGTGAAAAGAATCCACCGGCAGCAGAAGAAGCTGGACGCCTTCCCCTGCGGCCATCAGCTTTTAAAAGAGCATATTTCAGAACAAATTTCCACTGCGACGTTGTTGGAAATGTCGCACCACGAATGTGGCTTGTGCAGGGGTGCAGATGGGCACGGTGAGTGCGTCGCCTGTCTGGGCAGTGCCCACACAGAGGCTGCACTCACCGAGATGGAATGTTCTCACTGCGAGAACATAAGTCTTGCCCTTCTCCGCTCACGGACCCCTAGGAGGAAGAAACAGCGGCGCAGCAGGGCTCAAACACTGGGCTCGAGTGAAATCCCGCCGGCACAGGTCCCGCGTGCTTCACTCTCCCCTCAATGCCTCAATTCACCCGTGTTCTTCACACGTGAGGATCAACGCCCCTCGTCAGCTGCGAGCGGCATGATTTCCTTCGGTGGATCTAAGGAGGAAGCTGTCATGGATGACTCTGTCATTGACAGCTTCAGATGCGGAAGCGTGGGTGTGTTCTGGCGAAGACCCCGACACCCTTAGTCCGACGCAGACAACATGGCCCAGTGTGGACAGCGAGATGATCCGCATTCTAACCAAGACTGTGGAGGATCTCAGCCTGGCTTGGTCGGCTCCAGAAGAGCCTGCCCACGGCCTCCTTGATGAGTGGTACCTGAAAGGGCGCCGTCAACAATCCTCCCACCAGCGGCCTGTCCCGTTCCTTTCGACAGTTCATGAGGAGCTCACCAGGATGTGGCACACCCCCTACTCGGCACATGTCAATTCTTCCAATTCTGTCGCTCTCACCATTGTTGACGGCGCTGAAGAACGAGGTTATAGCAAGCTCCCCCCTCTGGAAGAGGTGGTCGCTGTGCATCTGTGCCCTCTATCGGCCTTGGGGTTAAAAGTCCATGCAGCGCATCCATCTAAGCCCTGCAGGACATCCTCAGCCCTAGAGAACAGGGCTTATTCAGCGGCTGGCCAGGTTGGCACAGCACTTTATATGATGGCGGTGCTCCAGGCCAAGCTTCTCCACACCATGGATGAGTCTGAGAAAACTCGACTACTTGCCATCCGGCTTCAGGCTTGGAAAGTCACCACCCTTCTAGCGCTCCCCAATTCAGAAGGTGAGCAGGGTCCTAATCCACTCTGCCCTGTTCGGGCCCTTAGAGCAGTGTTTCCCAACCTTTTTTTAGTCGCGGCACCCTTTGGAAATTTAAAAAGATTTTTTTTACACGGCACCCCTGCTCTCGACAGGCGGCACCCCGGTTGGGAAACACTGCCTTAGAGTGTATGTTGAGCGCTCTGTCACATTTTGCCACTCAGAGCAGCTCTTTGTATGCTTCGGAGGCCACTCTAAAGGGCTGCCAATCTCGCTGGATAGTCAATGCTATAGTCCTGTTATGCTTCCGTGGGCTTACAGTGTCCTATAGGAGTGAGGGCCCACTCCACCAGAGGGATGGCCTCCTCCTGGGTTTGGTCCAGCAGAATTTCTGTGATATCTGTGTGGCCGCCAGCTGGTCGTCGCTGCCCTGCTGGCACGGATTTTGTCAGCTTAATATACCTAACCCCCTTTGTAAGTAGGAAAGGTCATGTTATGTAGTCCTCAGCCTAGCGGCTTGGGTCTCATTATTAGCTCATGCTTACAGGAGCCCTCAATATGGGCGCTCCGGGGTTGGGTTCGCAGAGCGGCTTCGTTCTGCACTTGCTTATAGCACGGTGCGATTGGATTTGTTCCCCATTGAGTGTTAACGCAATGGGAGAGACCGTTCGAAAGGGAACTCTCCGGTTACTTACGTAACCTCGGTTCCCTGAGATAAGGCAACGAGCGTTTCATAGGCTGCCGTGCTATAAGGCTGTAGGTGAGTCGATGACTGTCACTTCAGTCGAAAGATTGTGATGAAATGGTATTCAGAGGCGACTTATATTGCAGTCGGCTTTAACCCTTTTGGCGGGTTGAAGCGCCTTTGGTTTGTACAGCTACACGAACGAGATCAAATCAGGCTTCAGTATCAGAGTAAACAGGAGTTTCCCCATAGCGTGTTAACGCAACACTCATGTCCTTATCTCAGGGAACCGATTTTACGTAAGTAACCGGAGCGTTACATCCCTGGATGTATTGTAGGGGATTGGGAGGGAAGGTAACAACTACCATTAATTCCATTTATGGTTTTGTGATTGAATTAACGGTTGAATTAACAGAAGACCACAATGGATTTTCAGTTTGGGGATAGGTTTGTTTAGCATTCCTAATATTGTAACAGGCCCTTAGTTATGCTTTCATGGATGCTAAAATGCTTACACTCAAGTATTGATTTGTGTAGTTGCTCAGTACAAGGGTCAATGATAGATAGAAGTATCTCTAATCATTTGTTGTCTTTCTTTTTGCAGTCATGAAGGCTTTTTTCCTGCTTGCCACATTGCTGTGGTGTTTAACAGCGAGTTTCTCCTGGGCAGCTAAGATTGTGGTGGTTCCTCCAATTATGTTTGAGAGCCACCTTTATATTTTTAAGACCCTGGCCTCTGCTCTCCATGCTGAGGGCCACGACACAGTCTTCCTGGTCTCCGAAGGTCGCGAGGTCCCACCTTCCAACCATTATCGTCTCCAGCGCTACCCTGGAATCTTCAACAGCACCTCAGCCGACGACTTCCTCCAATCAAAAGTTCACAACATTTTCTCAGGGCGTCTCACAGCACTGGAGCTTTTCGACATCCTTGACCATTATTCTCAAAACTGTGATGCTGTTGTTGGGAGTGCTTCTGTCATGGAGCAGCTAAAACGTGAACAGTTTGACCTCCTGCTCGTTGATCCTAATGAAATGTGTGGATTTGTCATAGCTCACATCCTGGGTGTCCAGTACGCAGTATTCAGCACAGGACTGTGGTACCCTGCGGAAGTTGGGGCACCAGCACCCCTGTCTTACGTCCCAGAATTTAACTCTCTATTAACAGACCGTATGTCATTGTTCCAACGGGTAGCTAACACAGCAGTGTACCTGGTTTCCAGATTTGGTGTCCAGTTCCTGGTTCTGCCCAAGTATGATCGCATCATGAGGAAATACAACATCCAGCCATCTGTGTCCATGCATGATCTAGTTCAGAATAGTCGACTCTGGATGCTGTGTACTGACTTGGCGCTCGAGTTCCCACGACCCACTCTGCCACATGTTGTCTATGTAGGTGGCATCCTCACCAAACCCCCCAGCTCCTTGCCACAGGTAAGAAACAAGTGCTATTATATTTAAAACATTCTCTAAACATTGTTACTTTTGGCATTTTTTTGTGGTATCACTTTCAGGTATGCACAAGATAATGCTACGATGGCTCATTAGTGCACAACATAATTTAAAAAGCAAGCATAACTTTACAGTGGAATCAAGCTACAACACAACGGAAACGAACATATGGAAATGCTCTTGCGCATTAGTGTACTTAACCAACTACTATCACAATGCTAAATTCAACTATTTACTCATTAGTTACTTGTTGATGTGTAAACCTCCCCTTTAAATAACGTGGCGCTTCCTTAAAGGGAGAGTTAACCCAAAAATTAAAATGACCCCATGATTTCCTCAACTTCAAGCCATCCTAGGTGTATATGACTTTCTTCTGTCAGACGAATACAATCAGAGTTATATAAAAAAATGTCCTGGCCTTTCCAAGCTTTATAATGGCAGTGAATGGTGGTCGAGATTTTGAAGCCCAAAAAAGTCCATCCATCCATCATAAAAAGTGCTCCACACGGCTCTGGGGGTTTAAATTGCGCGGTTACGAGAGAGTGGCGTTCCAGTGGATGACATAGGACGTAGGCGTAGCGTAAGCTCCGGTGAGAATATGCTAGTCTTGCGAGAACCAAGTTTTGTTTACAGCTAAGGAAAACCAGTCTCCTCTTGGCTTATATCGAAATCCTCTGACATTTTTCTTTACAAATCCTAATTTTGTACTTCTAATTCTTGACCGGTGTTTTGTTTTGCTCACTCCTCTGCGCTTCCATGTTCACTTCTCACCAGAGCTTACACTACACCTATGTCCTACGTCATCCGCTGGAATGCCACTCTCTCGTGAATGCATGTATGACAGTTATGTTTATGAAGTTTTAAATATGGATATTTTTATTACACAAACGCATTGCTTCGCATCAGAAGGCCTTTATTAACCCCCCGGAGCAGTGTGGAGCACTTTTTTATGGTGGATGGATGCACTTTTTGGGCTTCAAAATCTTGACCACCATTCACTGCCATTATAAAGCTTGGAAGAGCCAAGACATTTTTTAATATAACTGATTGTATTCATCTGAAAGAAGAACATATAAACCTAGGATGGTTTGCGGGGGAGTAAATCATGGGGTAATTTTCATTTTTGGGTGAACTATCCCTTTAAGTTCAATCAGCTGAGTCATTTTTCTGCCATCTGTAAAGATGCGATAAATCTGACATTGGGGTGCAATGCAGTTTCCAATGATTTAATGAATCAATTTTGAACAGTTTTTATTGTTCCAGTCTTTTTTATGGCCACTAGTAATTCACATATATTAATTACTACAGTTGAACGAGCCAGTCAGTTGTAGTTGACCTTTCTCAGCCTTCTTCAAGGTTGCACTAAAATCTAGATACTGGCACTGTTTAATGCTCTAACAAAATAACACTGAGCTGCCCTATTGCTTGATAAGTCTGATTCGTGCAAGTGGTTAATGCTAGGGATAATGGCATAATGAAATCTAAATATTGAACAGTTTTACTGTACCAATCTTTTTTTATGAACATTTGAATTTTGCATATGGGGCAATACACACAAAGCCAGCTATTGTGCACTCAGCTCATTTTGTGGTGATGCTTCTCAGCCACCATTGAGAGTGTGTTAAAGCTAACATTCAGGCTGTATACGGGAAGTAATGGTCTAATGAAATCCAAATTTTGAACCGTTTTGAATGTACCATTCTTTTTATGAACACATGAGCTGTGTTAGCCTAGTGTTAGGTTTAGCCCACCCTCTGTGGTGGCTGAGAAAGACGAGTTTTGTTGTGGCTGGATTCCGTTGGGTTGTGGCATAATGTTGTAAAATTATGTTGTTTTTTACATTTTGTTGTGCTATGGACTACTTGGCCACGGTAGTGTTCACTGTCAGAGAAAATGTGCAAAAATGGTACCGTTAAGGGTACAACAACTTGTCACAGGGGCAATACCCTTAAAGGGACATTTGTACATTTAGATTACCTTTGCCATTGTCTAACACTCATTTAAAGTTAATCTTTGAAAACACTGTTAATTTAATAAAACTGTAAAATGTAATATTTATCAAATATAAAAATAGCCATTTTACATACTGTACATTATAATTTGATGTCTAAATTTTGCATTTAAAATAAATGATTTCAGTTTTTAGTGTTTAGACAAATTAGTACAGAATGTTGTTGTCACCCATTTATCCATAGCATGTAAATAATTATCAGCGTATCTTTTCATTGCCTACTAGTTCATGTTCTAAATGGAAAGCTTATGAGCTGTATATTTGGATCAGTTTAAACAACAACCTTTTTTTTTGTTGTTGTTGTTGTTTGTTTGCTCCACAATCCTCTGTTGAGACTACAGTTACAATTTATATTCCAAAGTTCCCTTGTTCTTTCAGTAAATGCATTGTGTGCACATGCAGTGCTTTTGATGCTTGAGTTCATTAATGGCAAGAAAATTACATCATGTGCTGATATGGGGATCGACTGACACAGGAACCTCATTTTTCACTTGGCCTCATACAAAATGGCCAACCTCAAAAATCCCACATCCCACTCCCTCAAACAAGTGACCTAGGTCACCTTTCCAGTTTAAAAACCATTAGGCCGGGTGTGGTGACAAGTGGCTATATAAACATTAAGAGAATATCCAGTGTATTTGAGTCATTATTACCTCTGTGTTAGGCTCGTTTAACAGCTCAATAATATGAAGTCTTGATTTTGCACCAGGGTGTTATGCTCACAAAGGCTGCTCTTATCAGTCCGGATGGTTGTGCAGAGCTGTCCACTGAATAGGAGTGGGGGTTCTGAACCTAAGCTTGCACTTTTGGAATACCAAGGGCCCAAATGGCCTCATTGTATGCTGTGGAGCCATAATGCAAATAGTGTGTTTGTCAGTGCAGGGTGTGTGAGTGTGTGTAAATGTGCCAATTGTCGGGTGTGTATGAAGGACACTGAGACCAGTGTGAGGAGCGGACAGTCAGTGCCAGGCCAATGCAGGCTGTTCAGCTGCAGCTGGACTCCCTCAAACAGCGAAAAAGCAGGTCTTAGACAAAAACCTGCTCAATCTGAAGCTATGCTAACTGCTAACACAAAAGGCTAAAGGCTCTAAGTCTAATTAGCACCATTCATTTTGTGTGTGCTAACAATTGCACTACAGTGCTAACAATGCACTAAATGCTAACACAAAGCCATACTCATCTTAGAATTTTATTTGACATTTTTTGAATATGTAAGCCAGTGGTTCCCAAACCTGTCCTGGAGGACCCCCTGCCCTGCACATTTTGTATGTCTCCCTAATCAGACACCCAATTTAGTTATTGCAGTCTCTACTAACGAGCTGATGAGTGGAATCAGGTGTGTTAGATAAGGGAGACATACAAAAGGTGCAGAGCAGGGGGGCCTCCAGGACAGGTTTGGGAACCACTGATGTAAGCAATGTTATAATATAACAATCAAAAGCTAAATCTCAAAAATATGAACCAACGATTTAAAACTAATTAAAAAGTGAAAATGTCAAGCTCATGTTTTTGGTTTAGCACTTATTACTTGTATTACGCTATAATAATTTAGGTTCATAATTTGAGCTGTAAATTTGTCTAAATAACCCTTTTTTGTGGGAATGCTTTTCTAGGTGGATGAACTTCTGGTTATGTGTTGCCAATGTTTACTCCATGTAAACAGTTTTTTACAGATAGTATCATTATGTCCCTTTTCTGGTAATTTGCACATATTGTGTGAGAGTTACTGGGTTACCGACATTGTCGTCATTAGGTCCTCAAAGTTAAAAGACTGAAAACATCTGTACACAATCTCAGTAAATATTCATATGTAATATTTGAATTTTATGGCTATAATTAGATATAAAACTTGCTATGGCTATAATAATAAAACTGTGTTTATTGCTGTGTATGTAAATAAAAATATACTGTAGTCTTCATAGGTTATTCAAGCTTTTAGTTTGTAAAATTAATTTAAATATTATTCCAAAGTTAAACCAAAAATCATCATCATGCGTCATTACTATCATAACTGAATGAGCAAGATGAATAAGCATTCATCAGATTTTTTATTTACCAGAAGTTGGAGACGTGTTGAATGTGATGACAGAATATTTTCATACACTCAAATGACTTGCTGTTGCTTCATCATAGAATTATCTGATCAAAATAACAAAATATCTTTGGCTGTCACAACTGTCCCAGAGCAGTCTAGTTCATTTTCCCATTTTGGAGTTTAATATTAGTCATACAGTTTCTCCTTTTATATTTAACTTTGTGTTATTGTTCTGCTTTAGGTGGCTTATTAAAGCTAAGGTTATCTTTTAATACGAAATCCAGCCAAGAGCAATGAAGGCTTTTCTTTTTCTTGTCAGTATTTTTGTTCTGTTAATATTCTGTGATTTTTGAATGCGTATATTAACTACATGTGTACAGTATGTAATCTAAGTAATCTTCCTTTTTGAATTACCCCAATATTGGTAATTAAAGCAGGATAAAGTGATTCTGCGCTCTATATGCTCCAGATTGCTCTCCATGGATGTACCAAGGTTTAATACATAAAAAAAAAAATCAACCCGCACAACCTGAGGTTTTGTCCAGTCTGGCCCTTGATCTAAAATGTGTTTGACACACCTGGTCAAAGTTTAATTTACACAGCTCTAAAAAAAGACACTGACATTTGTACATCACATTTATTTCATTTTCCATTGTGGTGGCATAGCACTTACCACTGAAAACGGCATATGGTTGACATAAAAGGTTTTTGAGAAATCTTGATCATGATTTCTTTTCAGGTTGAGGGATTTCTAAACATGAAATGTGTCTCTGTCAAAGGTAAAGTAGCTTGAGAAATGTCCACACCTTAAAACCATTTAATATTATGAAACGCATGTTTTCACTTGTTTGGAAATTAAAAGTTGTATGTAATGTCCCTTTAAGTCAAACTATATAGCAATGTGCTGGTGAACACTGATACTCCGATAATAAGTTGCATTCTTCAGCCATTTTATTGCATGCTTACAAAAGCACGGACTCATAAATCAAGTGTTTAACAAACTTTCTGTTCTCTTCTGTTCAAAGTGCTTACTATCAGATGGTAATACTTTGATGCGTACTATGGTACTGAATAATTACCAGATTCAAATACAGTGGTATTTATGTGCAGCTGTTATTTTCTGGAGATATTTCTAGTCCCTTTTTACGTTTAACTTAATGTATTCAAATGAAATTATATTTACAAATCAGACAGAACCATTTTATTTAGATGCTAATTTTGATTTCCATATAACGTTGAATTGCTTTGTCTTGTGAATATAGTCAGCACAAATTTCATAGATTGTTGAACTGTGTATTTGATCTGTGTATGTGTACAGGAGTTTGAAGCCTGGGTGAAGGATACAGATGAACATGGTTTCGTAGTGGTATCGTTTGGTGCAGGAGTCAAGTATCTGTCAGATGACATTGCTCGGAAACTTGCAGGAGCCTTGAGCCGTCTTCCCCAGAGAGTCATCTGGAGGTACTGCCATTCTATTCATTTCCTCTTTCATGTGATCAGTGAACCATTTTGCCAACAGATCAAATCACCTGCGTATCTCTCCATTATAGCTTATTCTATCACATAGTATCCATTGGGAACTGAACTGTGGTGGTGGGTCACTGATAAGTTAGTTGTGGCTACAACTAACTATTTTGTTTTCTATTTCCAAACCTGTAAACCCTCATTCAAAATGATGGTTTCGTTAGACTTTCCAATGGTTTCTAAAAGCAAAACTTGATGAATTCATTTCGGACTAAAGCATTGTACAGATTCACTTGTAATTTACTGAGAGTGTTGTCAATAATTATGATGAATCTCAGTATGTTTGTTTTAAATCCCAATCAATCTTCATCCTTTGTTGGCAGTGGAGGGACATTTGATCCTCTGAGATGGTGGTACATAAGTCATGATCATGAAAAAACAATAAAAAAATGTAAGGATTATTCTGATCATCATTTGATATTTTGGTTTGTTGTATTGTAATAGTTTAAAACCTTCTCTCTAACAAAAATACACATTCAATACAATACCTAGCGGGCACATTGATACCAATTTGACGTCAAATACCAGTCAAAACTTGATCAAGATGCTGTAACATCATTTTAAATTCAGTTTGGTTTGGCAGTTTCTTCCAGTGGTAATTAGGTGAAAATAGGAAGTTAATCCCACACTGAAACTGGTTTAATGTATATGTAGGCCAATATGTTTGCTGTTCAGTTTACATCAAATCAATGTCATGTCAAGTTTTTGACGTCAGTTTGATTTACATATTCGACCTGTTTTTTGACGTCAATTTTGATGTCAATTTCATGTCTTTTCAACATCAATTGCCCACTGGAGGCTCAGAGACAAATACTATAATAAAATGGTTTACAAATGGCTTTTGAAACCCCCACCTTCATTTTTTTAATGTATAATTCTATAGGGGTCAGTCGCCTAAAAATGAAAATTCTGTCATTATTTACTTTGCACTCGTGTCAGAAAACTGTTGGACTTTATTTCTGTGGAACACAAAGACAGAAATGATAAAGAATTGCACTGGTTCATTTTTCCATACAGTTACAAAAAGTGGTGCATAGTGCATACAGTACAACTTATGAGCTATATTGCAAGTCATCTAAAGCCATATTATAGCTTTGTGTGAGGAATAGTTGAAAATTGAACTTTACTACACATATAGAACCACTTTTATATATTAATAATGCTAATTTTGCCATCAGTAAAGCTGGAAAGCCTCAGTCACCATAAGGGATTCATTGCATGGAAAAGAGCAACCACAAATTTCCTACCATGGAAGAAATAAAGTAAAGCATGTTTGGAACCGCATGAGGGTTACTAAATGGCAATTTTTTCATTTTTAAGGGGATGATTTATTTGCTTTAAATACTGTATTAATATTGAAATGGCTTTATATAAAGCAGAATTTATAAAATAATGTAGGTTTTGAAAGGTAATGCTCTTATGAGTTAGCCCAGCTCAAAAATATATCACATGTGCATGTAAACTTTCCCATTGGATTAATTTTCTTTCTCTATGCTTACATTTAAACGTCCTTTTATGGTTCTTTCCTCTTTAGCTTTTCCTAAGTGAACTTGCATGCTTATAAATAGGAGCACCTTTTGTTGTCATATGCACTCATATTGTCATGACTCCCGTAGTCATGCCATATAATCTCAGTTGCTTTCTTGTGTTCATGCAAATGTGCCAAGGCAAGTCTTTACTAATGAGGACACTGTTGGGAGCGGAAATGCCCAGGGAACACAAACACATTCTGTGCATATACTGTACAGATAGATGGACACACTTCTGTGAGCCTCAACAATATACCACTCTTGTTACGTATTCAGACATGAAGTCATGAACATATGGTCTCAACTCTTTCTCTCTCACACTGTGCATAGATTATAGTAATGGTAATTAGAGTCACTGACTGCTGTCGGGTTTCTTAGTAACTGTAGAATGTTTGTCATTAGGTTTGGCGCATACTGGCCTTTAGGTTGTGTGTGTTTGCTTACAAGTGACAGATCTTGACTAAATCTCAAGCCAGACTTGACGATGAGGGCTTCATTTAATCTCCACTGAAGAACTCTTGTTGTATTGTTAGTTTAATTAGTTATTTAGCAGATGTGTGAGTATTTATTTCTTAAAGCCAACATGAAATCACATGCTCAAGTAACATTTCTTATAATTAGCATTCTTTTCAAATCAATCCTACCGACCCCATACTTTTGAGCAGTGGTGTGTGTTCCTGGTGTTTTTGTACTCCGTTTATCAGTGCATGCTTTAAAGAAAAATTGTTTGTCCTCGTAATGTGAAAAGAATTCCCTTTTTTTGCTGATGTCAATTAGGCCATGTGGTCAGCAAAAAATGCTAACCAATAGCATTATACAATAGCTATTTAGGCATTGTTTTAGGCTACCGCTGTAGGTAAAGCAGCCTTTCAATTATGTTGCTAATAGTTACCACAATAATTTACTTCAACATGCAGGTCCCATCCTACATTGTTTTTGCTCTTTGAATATTCTGTTTCATTTGGAAATCCATCACTTTACATAATCAAATAGGTTGCGAATACAGTTTCGTGTTGCCTTCAATGCCTTTCTCAAAAGTACAATGGTTGTATCTCTTGTTGTATTCATCAAACTTAATGTTTATATGTAGTATAACTACCATGTTTATATGTAATATATGTCATGCATTACTGCAGAAACATTTAAAAAATCTTCATTGGAGACTTTATAAGGTAGAAGGAAACCATCTGGTTTTCTATTGCTGGCTGATTGTCTTTCGTCTTTTTTCTTTATATTTGCCTTCTAAATGTACGTTTTTTAAAATTTTTATTAATCTGATATGCATGCAAAATATATGGTCTCTGTCTCTCTCATACTCGGTCTCTAATGTGCTTTTCCTTTCCAAAAAATACCTCACTCCCCTGATCTCACTCATATCTATGATGCTTTGAATAACTAACCAATTATTCATTCTTATCAACTGATGATTGTCTCATCCACTATAGCCCTAGATTTTTTTAAAAAGAGCTTCCTGCATCTTACGGAGTTCAATTTCTCTGCAGGTTCTCTGGAGTTCCTCCTTCCAATCTTGGCAACAATACTAAACTAGTGGAGTGGATGCCACAGAACGACCTGTTGGGTACGTATCATCCTATCTCTCACTAAATAGGACATTTCTGAATTCTAAGAAATGCGTATGAAGTTTGAAAAACTTCCTGTTCTCTGATGACCTAGTTGATGCATCCTGTGCTTTGAGTTTGGATTGCTCTGGATTGCCAACCAGAGATAACGACAAGAAAAAAAGTCTGATACACAAAGTCGGTAGACAGAATGGACCCAAGGCATTTCTTCTCTAAGGACCCTCAGCTATTCAAAACAAACACTTACTTGTCTAAAGATCAGCTGGACTGAACTTCAAGATCAGTGACCCATGGTCAACACTGTCACAATAAACAACAGTTTAAATTCCATTTTTAATCAGAGCCTGAAATGCACTTACACACACTGTATGCAGCTTTATCATGTTAGTACCGGTGAGGGAGTGATACTGTACGCACCCCACCCCATCCGTAAGAAACCTCGGATAATTTTACAAAATCGTATGCAAATGTCCCTTTGATTTTCCTATGTGTCTTTAAATGTATTTTGAAAGAGATATAAGGGTACAATATGTACAACTGGTGACTCTGAAAGGTCAATAAAACTCTTTGTTCATTGTGACTCATTCAGAGGAAGAAGTGTTAGCATGTATAGGGTATATATGAGCGGCGTGGAGTGGGAGCAGAGCGAGGAGTGGAGCGGAGTGATTTTTGACTGGAGCAAGGAGTGGATTTTTTGAAAGTCGAAGCGTCGGGGTTTTCACTCGCTCCGAGAGCGCTCCACTACTGCTCCATCACGAGCACAATTAATGCCAACAGCCCATAATATAACTGCATTTTATCAGGAATTCACGCATTAAACATCATTAACTAGCTTGGCAGATGAAGGTGAATGTTATAATGAAGGCGATGGACGAGTGTGGGAAGTTAAATCTCAAGCATGTTTGATTGGAGCATGTGGATACTCAATATTAATTGGGTGAATTCACATTTTAAACAGTTTATTGTACAGGTAGTTAATCTTCGCTCTAAACTAATGTGCTGCTACATTGCTGCACGCATGCACACAACACACAAGCTCGCACATAACGCACAGATCGCACGCACATAAAAACATTCAGGAGTGGCAAAAATTATTGTCAACGCTGTCCTGTGAATTATCAGCTTAAAAACGGAAAAGTTACTGCATATTCTTTCTGTTTCTGAAGTAACTACAACCCTCAGCTTTGCCATAGCTGAGAGACGCTGCATAGACAACTGAATTAAACAGTCATTTAATGTTAAACTATTTTTCTAGTATTGTGTATGAATTTTTCATTTAATATAATTTCTGAACAGAGCTTTGTGATATTTCAAAAAAATACTGAAATACTTTAGCCACAAATTTTGTCATGGAGCAAAGGCGTTTCTGATCAGTTGAGCGAGGAGTGGGAAATGCTGAACCCGGAGCGGAGCTGGAGCTGGAGCTGGAGCGGAGTGATTATTGAATGCTTGGAGTGAAGAGGAGAAATTGTTGTCACTTCACTCCGTTCACATTAGGGAGGGATGAGTGTAAAGGCCAGGAGTGGCTCATGTTCACACAGAAGCAACTGAATAAAGAACTGCTTACTATTAGATCGATCTTGTTAACCTTTATTTTAATAGAATTATGTCACTATTTGTGAGGCACTTATCACTATTGTCTGAATATAAAATCCCCAATATTAATATTTGGTATGTAACTCATCTCACTGTTTATGCCATGTACATGAATGATACCTCTAATCACTTATCAACAAGAGGTGTGCCTTTACTTTTCTAAGCATTCAAACTGGCGGATGATAAACTGAAAGAGGGGCCCAAGTCATATCTAGGTGTGAGAATATTATAGGGGTGGACTCATTGTTGAATATTACTGTATATTCAGCAATCTGAAAACAAAACAGGAGTATTGTCACCCTGATACATAATTAAGAGTAAAAACTATATATCTCATCTTAGTAAATTATAAGTCAACATTTGAACCACTTCAAAGTTTTTTTATTTTATTTTATATTATATATATTTGTATTGTTAAATAGTCAAGTAAGTTGAAACCCAATACTTACACTTAAAATTGTAGTCCGACATTTTCTCTCAAAAAATCCTGTCGTCATCAGTGCGCAATGAATCTCAGGATAGTCTGGGCCCCAAAGGATCCATTAGTTGTATCCTTTGTTGTGTGGGAAACCAAGGATGCATTTCAAGGCCACATTTGAAGGAGCCTTAGAATTGGGAAAGCCTTCGTTGCACCTCAATGACGCCATCAGACTTTGAATGCAGCCTTCAAAGGATGCTGACTCTGAATTGGGATGCAGCTTTGGAGTACCTTAGCAACTGTGTAGAAATGCACTGGCAACCACCCAGAGCACCCTAGCAACGTACTGTAGTGGCAGGTTTTGCATGGACGAGACCGCTTGTATTTTCTTTTGAAAATGTAAAAATCTAATTTTCTGCTATTAAATCTAGTTTAGTGCTATATTTCATAGCGAATATTATAGTTTGTATTAAAGAAACCATAGTTATTAATGTTACCATATTAATGTTAATGTTGTTACTATAGTCTCACTCAAAATACCACATTTAACTCTTTCCCCGCCACTTTTCTGGCTTTCCGCGTTATCACTGGTGTATGGTAGGAGGCGCTGTTGCATGCTGTTGCATGTCTTCTGAGAGTACTGAGAGTACTGAATCTCTGAAACAAAACACAGGTGGAGAAGAAGCAGATACAAGCGATCGCGTATGTAAACATATGCATATAATGTGATCATCAAACAGCATATAAATCAAAACTGCCTAATGTTACCAAATGAAATGTTGATACAGGAAGTGGTTTAGGACTGTGAAGCTTTGGCTACATTGATGGAAGCGAATGACTCCATCTATGTTTTGATCATTGTTCTGAATCCCATCCAGAAGCAGTGGTGGACAGTAACGGAGTAGCTTTACTTCGTTAGTGTACTTAAGTACATTTTTCAAGTATCTGTACTTTACTGGAGTCGTTTTATTTTGAGTAACTTTTACTTCACTACATTCCAAAGCATAAGATCGTACTTTTTACTTCACTACATTTCATAAAACATATCGTTACTCCTTATAATATATCACGTGCTCTGACACGCAGAAGCGGTGTCTGATTCAAGAATGAACTGATTCTTTTCAAACAGCTTACAATCTAATTTCCAACCCCTTATGTTGAAAACTAAAAAGAAATTTGATATGTGGCTCATGAGGGATTTATCACTCAAAGGTAGGATTCTTTTGTCCAAAACCGAGGGATTATCTCATTTAATCTATCCTGCTAAAGTATTAGATTAGATTAAAAAAATTGATTCAACTCTATTTAATTTCATATGGAAAAACAAGCCTCACTATTTAAATAAAAATAATTTATGTAATTCGTATGAGGTTTGAATGTGCTTGATTTTGTTACGTCTAATACAATTTTCAAGCTGAACTGGATAAAACATTATATTAAACATAAAGATGAGATATGGTATATAATTCCAAATCGTATTTTTGAAAAAGTTGGAGGCGTAGAGTTTCTTTTGAAGTGTGATTTTGAGGTCAACAAACTCCCCATTAAGTTATCTAATTTTCATAGACAGGCTCTTTTAAATTGGATTCTTATATACAAACATAATTTCTCTCCCCATAGGCAGATAATTTGGAATAATAAATATGTTAAATATAAGAACAAATCAATTTTCTATACTAATTGGGTTAAAAATGGTATTCTAATGGTCTCACAGTTGATAAATAATGAAGGATATTTACTTCCATATACTGAATTTTTAGAGAAATTTGGTATTCCAATACCTCCGCGTGAATGTAGTATTGTAATTGATGCAATACCAGCAGGATTTGTGAGACTTTTAAAGGGATTTAGTGAATCTAATCAATCAACATTTAAAAAAGAGATCTTATTAAACGGACAAATTCTGTGTCACAAATAAAGTTAGTGAAGTTTACTTTAAAATTATACATATAATTTATCCAACTAACCAGTTTCTCAAGAGATACAGAGCTGATCTCTCTGAATTTTGTGCTTTTTGTGGAATGCATGTAGAGACTGTTTTGCATCTTTTTTTTGAATGTATGTATGTTCAATATTTCTGGATTGATGTTGAATATTTATTTACTATGTTGAGTGGATCTAAAATTAATATAAGAAAAAGAGATGTTATATTTTATTTTGATAAAAAAAGATATTTATTATTTATTTATTTTTCTTTCCCTTTTCTTTTTTGTTTTTTGTTTTTTTTTCCGTGTGTCTCTATTTTAGGTAAAAAAAAAAAAACGAAACATTAAAATAGCACAGACTAAATAAAATAATTCATGCACGTTCATATTCCCCGCTGACGTAACGTTAACAGTTTTATTAAAATGCTATGCATTTAGCCCTATGTGACGTCTGTTTTTATATTGTTTATCAACAGTATACATTTTTATATTGTTTGGATTAACTAGCCGAGTAGACAGATATGAATGTTTATTCATAACCATACTGAAAATAAGTAAATAGTGTTAGCTGATGCTAACTGTCTAGCTAACAAGCTTGCTGGTGCTAAGTTGAGGTAATTTTTAGATATAAAGTCCAAATATTTTTATTCAACCACCTAGATAGATTACATCTGAGGGAAAAAGAAAGGATGTGATGTTCAGAACATGGTAACTACAGTAATTATCAAAGTGGGAAGTGATGCCCTCCGGGAGCATTTGGCCAGGGGTGTTTTTACACCACTTGAGAAGAAAAAAATCATTATGAAAATATGATATTTTCCTTAAAATGTTCTTCCTAACTTCAGGCCTCATTCTCACGAGTACTTTTGTACTTTCACTCGAGTAAAATTGAAAAAGGAGTACTTTTACTGGAGTAATATTTTATTATACGTATTTGCACTTTTACTCAAGTACTTGATTTATGTACTTCGTCCACCACTGTCCAGAAGTAGTCTTTGACAAAAATATGGTTTTCTCAGCTTTTTGTTCAAAATGTTTTTTTTAAAACGTACCCACATTCAAGAGTTGATAAAAAAATAATGCATGAAACTATATAAAACTTTTTTTTTTTTAAGCAGAGGGTCTGTTCTTTCTTTTGACACATTGCATGTTCAGATATTCATACAACAAAATATTCTGAGTGCCATGAAAATTTTGTGAAAATGATAAAAAACGCTGCTGGCGGCTGGCAACTTTTAAAAAAAACGCTGGCGGGGAAAGAGTTAAACAATGATTACTATGCAGCAACAAAAAATTGAAAAATTGCACATTTTTCAATAATAGTTGTCTTTTCTCTCACACTCCATCTCTTATTCACCTACAGGCCACACAAACACACGGGCCTTCTTGAGCCACGGGGGCTTGAACAGCATCTATGAGGCCATGTATCACGGTGTGCCCGTGGTGGGTGTTCCGCTGTTTGGAGATCACTATGACACCATGATGCGAGTTCAGGCCAAAGGCATGGGCATAATGCTTGAGTGGAAAAGGATGAGTGAAGAAGACCTTTACACTGCCATGGTTAATATCATTACAGACAAAAGGTAATTCACATGTGTATAAAATGCCTGAATAAAGTGAATTAAGCACACATAAACACACACACACTATCTTCAGTCATTGTAAAACGTCTGTTAAAAAACAGGTAATACAAATCCAAACCCTCACACACAGAGCCGAGTTAATCTTTAATGACTGTGGAATTGGGGTTACTCAAGTTTAATGATTAACAGGACCTATTGAAGACCCCGCAATGGTGTCAATATTTGCAGATCCATAGTGCTTTAACAAATCCGAGGAAGCCAAAGAGTAATGTAGCCTAAAAAACATTGTATTCTACAGACTGAATTTTAGGGGTTTAGCTGTATTAAAATTCAGTTCACCCCAAAATGAACATTCTCCTTTACTTACCCTCATGTATTTCCAAACCTGTATGACTTTCTTTCTTGTGGAGAACACAAAAAGAGATATTTAGCCGAATGTCCAAGCTGTTTTTTTTCACATAAAATCAAAGTGGAAGGTGGATTGGTCATCAGGCTAACGTGACAGTAAAGACTCATGCAGCTGTAAGGTTTTCTTTTTCTTTTGTTTTTACTCGCGATCTTTAAAACACGCATTACATTACGTATTTCATGGCACACTCGTTTTATGCGTATTTGGCGCCACCTATTGTTGTGGGTGTATTATTGACATGTCAAAGTCTAGACCCTGAATATAAGACGACCACGTTTTTTCAGATGTATTTCCAAGAAAAAAACATTGTCTTATATTCAGGTCAATACGGTAACTAATTGTTTTGATTTGCATTTACAAAAATGTGAAGATCAGATCCGTATGGAAGCCCGTTTCTGACACTAAATAAAAAATAAAAAAGGTAATTGCGACTTTTTATCTCACAATTCTGACTTTTTTCTCAGAATTGCGAGTTTATATCTCGCAATTCTGACTTTATAACACGCAACTGCGAGTTATAAAGTCCGAATTGTGAGATATAAACTCGCAATTCTGAGAACATATCAGTCCCCCCTCCCTCAAAATTGGACTTTAACTCGCAATTGCGATTTTATATCACGCAATTCTGACTTTATAACTCTCAATTGTGTGTTATAAAGTCAGAATTGCGAGAAAAAAAGTCCGAATTGCGAGATATAAACTCGCAATTGCGAGAAAAAGTCAAAATTACGAGTTTATATCTCGCAGTTCTGACTTTATTTCTCAGAATTGCAACTTTTTAACTCGCAATTGCGAGTTTATATCACGCAATTCTGAGAAAAAAAGTCAGAATTGTGAGTTTATATCTCGCAATTCTGACTTTATAACTTGCAATTGCGAGTTTGTATTTCACAATTCTGTGAAAAAAGTTAGAATTGTGAGATAAAAAGTCGCAATAATCTTTTTTACAATTTTTATTCAGTTGCGAAAACGGGCTTCCATAGATCCGTGATTAAGTTGCCTGCTGATAGTTTTCATGGAACTTCGAACCTGAATTACAGATCAAGAAGAGAGACTATGGAACAGTGCCTTCTTGTGGCCTTTATGTCAAGATCAACATCCTGTTGGTGAAATATATGTGCTGTCCCAGATGTTTTGAAACCTCTCCATCTCTCTTTCTAATAAGGTATCGTGAGCGAGCACAGTTGCTGTCTCAGATTCATAAAGATCAGCCTGGTCATCCAGTGAGCCGGGCGGTTTACTGGATTAGCTATATACTCCGTCATCGTGGCGCCGACCATCTCCGCTCTACAGTCTATGAGATCCCCACCTACCAGTACTTCTTATTGGACGTCGTTGTGGTGATAGGAGTGTGCCTGCTTCTCCTTGGCTACTTGCTATACCGAATAGGCAAGTGCATCCAATCACGAGTGGTGCGCGGTTCATCTCCGGCAGAGAAGGTGAACGGATATTGTCATAATGGAATTCCAAATGGCAAGCACAAAAGAAATGGCCATGTTAGAAGTACGGAGAAGAAACTAAAGTAAAGCACTAGGAGAAATCAACACTAACGCTTCACTAAAGAGAGGAATTAACTACTCTTCACTCAAAGCAGGGCCTATCCAGGAAATAAATATATGGGTCAATAAAGAAACAAACCAACCATTATAACAACAAACTGTAAGTGTGAAGCCAAAGTAAGGAAGAATGGAAGGAAACCAGAAAACATAAATGGAAAGTTCCTGAGGATGTCACCCCAGCCCCTGTTGAATGGCATTAATGTTCAGTTGTGGTCCTGAATGTTGAGTTTATCCTTGTGGAAAAAGCAACAGTTTTGAAGTTTAGAAATTAACGTTTTTAACAAGAAGCTATCATCAGGTTTTACTACATCCAAATACAACAGAGATCTATGTCTATTTATAGAAATGTCATACTTTTTTGTGCACTGTTGTGCGCTGATTTTAATTTATGTTCTATATTTATGTTTCACGCACTCCGTCCCTACTCTGTTTTCATTTCTTCAGGAATATTAATTCTTGGATGTTAGCAGTGCTAGCAAGCTAGCATATTTGCTAGTGTTTATGTTGCCAGCCTTGCCTTAATCTTTAATATGCTTTTTGTTCTGCTAACATACAACTTCATTCCTTGTAGACACAAATCTGCACTAGTTAATGTTGCTAGTTATGCTAGCTATGCAAAATGCTAGAGATTTTGATAGGGATAGTTAAACTTGAAAACTTGCTTCTATTTACAATAATTTTGGAAACTACAGTAGGAGCCAGTATACTGGTATACCCATACTATTGTGTTGCTTCATGGATGTTTATGTTCTGAAGTTTAAATTCTTCCTCACTGCAGTCATCTTTACTGAATGGTTTATTTTATTAAGCAAATCATGCTTAAGAGGAACATTTTAGGGGGGTGGGGGGTATATAGCAGTTACGCGTGAGTGACTGTGTGTGTCTCGAAATGTCCCAAACAAACTACATTTTTATTCGAATATGTATCAGACGAGTGTTGTTATGAATGCAAAAGATCGTTTGCTGACATGTTCCCACAAATCAATGAGTGACCTGGAGGAATTTGGTACTGTAATTAACATTTCCCATGGCAAACTACATTTTTATTCGAATATGTATCAGACGAGTGTTGTTATCAATGCAAAAGATCGTTTGCTGACATGTTCCCACAAATCAATGAGTGACCTGGAGGAATTTGGTACTGTAATTAACATTTCCCATGTTGCTCTACTGGTTCTTTTAACCTTTAGCCATTTACATCACTGGAAATTCTGTGAAAGGCAATATTTTGGTAACATGTCAGTCTAACATTTAGTTGTGTGACTTTTCACCAGGTGTTTTGAGGTGGCAATAAACAGAACTTCTGCAAATTATTTGTGCGTTAAAGTGCATTCTCAGCCTCAGAGGTTTTATTTTAAATAAATGCCACTGGACAACCTGTTATAAAATCACATGCTGTTTTTACAACTCAATGTCAGACTGAACTGTTGCCAGTAATAGTCTCAGTGTGATTGTTTTAAAAGCACCACAACACTGTTCATATAATCCTTGTCCCCCCCCCCAGTCAAATCACCTTAAGAACACAAAACCAAAATAGCTTAAATGAAGAATCACTGATGTCATAATAATTTGAAACTGTTTTTACCATGAGGCTGAAAGCATTTCGTCAGCCAAGCACTGTTTTAGACTGTCCATACTTGAAAATACGCTAGCTGCAATATGGCTGCAAATGCATCAGAGCTATGACTGGTGAAACAGTGATGCACACATTTTGAACATCGTAATTGTTTTCTAGTTGTTTGTTTTGTATGATTTTCAGTATTAATATTAGATGGTTAACAACAGAGGAAAAAGCTGCAGATGGACTCTAACCTTAAAGGCTGTGTGTGTGTGCGCGAGTTGTAATAGATTGTTATTTCTTATATGTGAAATGCGTATGCGTGTGCATTTGAATGGGGTTGCTTGAGCCTACTTGTGTCCAGCTTTCCCTTTATATACTGATCATTTAAAACAAATGTTCCAGTTCGCTTACAGTGCATTGAAGCCTTTCTTTGTCTCTCATAGTCTGTTTCCTGATAAAGTCCTTGTAGAAGTAGTTGTTAAAGGCTGCTTGAAGGAGTTTAGTCTTATTTTTTTAGTTTTTTTTTTCATAATGATTTAATGTGTGTCTGTGTTATGTAAATAAAAAGACAAACAAATATACTAATAGTAAATAAACATTACATATTTTGTTTGCTTATTTCTTGTCTGATGATTCTCTCTCAATTTTAATGTATAAGAATAAGAAAAAGATTCTGCCACTTGCAACACCAAAGGATATTCAGTGAGTTAGTCACAAAGCACATGCGTGGCGTCTCACTTCTGTTCTCAAGTTACACTGTCCCGAAGTGGTTTGTCTCGGTTTTTTCCCATGACCTCATTTATAGTTGTGTCTAAATGATAACCCTTATTCTGCTAAATGTTCTTGCATGTGCATTTGGTGCTATCAGGTTGATACGCTTTATTAACTCAATATTGTTATCCTGTGAAAAGAGCTTTGAATACAAATTTCAATTTGCAGTAAATTTTCATAGTCTAATGGATGACTGCGGGGGGAGTTGAGGGAGTGTAAAACTACACGCCGGTTAGTCGGCAGGTATCAGGTGTTGTCCTGATGTTTTCAGCACTCTGTCACATTAGATGGGTGTGTATCCTGAAGATACTTGTGTACATTATGTGTTGATTAAGAGATAAACTTACACTTTATCCCATCTTTCTCTTAATTATTCTCTGACAGTTTAGCATGTGATGTGTTTGTCTTAATATGCATGTTTGTGCATGAAGACAGTTTAGTGCTAATTAGACTAGTTTTTCTGGTTTCACAATTAGACAACCCAGGATCACTGGAAACATGCCTGTGTGCAAACTGATATTATGCTGCCTCTTGTATGTTCTGCGGTATTTTTCTTTATTGCTTTTATCGTGTTTGAAAATAATGCACCACATACACTCAACCCTACACTAAACATAATCAATAGCAAACATGAGATAAAAACATTGGCGGACGCAACCATGCTTGTTTCTAAGTCCTTTGTGCTCTTTTATTGTGACTCGTGTTTCACAGGACTTGTACCCTTGTAAGTGCTCCAAATTGCAAGTGTAATGCTGTACCAGGTGCGCTACCGAGAAAGTTTACCACATTAGAAAAGCTATATATATATATGGAGCTGATTATGAGATGCAAATGTCAAAATGGTTACAATCATGCACCATGGTAAAAGTGTTTTGAGATTATAGCATAGTATTGTGCAAGGATCATAAATCATAAATTGGTGTGAAATGGAATAAAAGTTGTTGGTGTTTTACTGCCACCAGTGTTCATTTCAGCTGGAAACTGCAGTGAATTGTGTGTATAGGTATGTTTTTGGAGTTTTGCAAGAGTGTATAGTAGGTAGATGCACGTTTTTCCAATAAGTCTTGGTTGCAATTAGAGGAGAGTGATTTTGGGAACATGAAGGGTGAGTGGAAGGTCTAAGTGTGATGCTCTTAGTTCTTTTGGAAGCTTCCACTCTCGGCAGTCCTCGACTCCTCGGTGTGTTCAGAGAATTGATATGTCCTTCGTGGTGGCAAACTTCAATCAATTTCCAGGTCAGAGGCCGAAAGAGAGAGGAGCAAGGAAACAAGCGTCAGATAGAGTTTTGAGAAGCACTCTTTCTACATTCAGGAAGGTGCCTCGATTTGAGCCTGAAAGGCTAATGAGGCCTCAACCCCTAACCTAAGCTGATCAGACTGTCAGGCACAAAGTGGGGCACCTTGCATGCTTTTGAGCCAGTTACCCGAGCCGTAAATGTCATGAGACTAACCACTTCAGAGCTGAAGGGAAATTATGTCATGGCAATGCTGCCTGGCTGATGGCGCCACAGGAACATGAGGTCCCATGTCCTTTACTACTGACCGTGACAAGCCTGAAAGGCAGCAGACAGGGAAAAAGATAAGACCATAATATAATAAAAACTACAAAATAATAGTAGTATAGATAGCCAGCCAAACTCTGACCCCTTGATCAGGACAAAAGAGAATATTAGATGGAGACTTTTCTCTCCACTAGAGGGTGCAGTACTTGCCATTTGCCGGCCCTCATAGTTCTATAAAAATATAGTATATGTGCAATGAACAAAACCATTTGTTGTGGACTTAAAGTTGCTGCCTTTATTTTTTAATAAGAAAACCACACATTAATTTTATTTTTGAATACCACAGATATAAACATCCCCACTATCTGTATGCTCTGTAAAGCAAGGAAGTCTATAACAGAGAAAAGCTATTCATTAGCCTTCTCATTCATCTTGATTGTAGTCGCTTGGCTGGCAGGACCCCACCCTACACAAGCTGTAAATGCCATGTGACTCCATGTGACTAATCACTCTGGAGCTGCAGGAAAATGGTGCCATGACAGGACTGACTGGCTGATGGCACCACAAGAATGCACAGCCTCAAAGCCCTTCATTAGCAGCTATGCTGAGCTGTGACGACAAAGGCAGCAGACAGGTACAAATACAGTATGTCAACTTCGTGCTTATACAGTACAAGCTGTTTAAAAATAACCAAATGAAAATAAAACAAACAAACAAAACAAATACATGACCAATTTTGAAATGGAATGCTTTTTGCAGCCAGATGATTAATTAATAATATTATAATCAAAATCTATCAGCAGGGGCTAATGGGGCCATGCTAACCAGCCAAACCTTGACCCGTTGCTGTAAATAGTAAAAAAACACAAGTTTTAGTCAGTCAGAAAACCTATCCAAATAGAGAATATACTGTCTTTGGAGGGTGTGTTTTCTTTGGATTGTGGTTGAAGTTAGCAAAATAATGAAAATTTAAAAAAAAAAAAAAACAGCTGACTGATTACAGCTCCTTGACTCTCAGAAAAAAGGTACAAAAGCTGTTGCTGTGGCAGTACCCTTTCCAAAGGTGCTAATATGTACCATTTAGGTACTAATATGTTCACTTTGGGTAACAATATGTATTTTAAGGAACTAATATGCACACTTTAGGGGTGAATAAGGTACAAAAGTGTACCTTTTGAAAAGGAACCACCACAGTGACAGCTTTTGTACCTTTTTTCTGAGTCTTTAATCTGATTGGATTTTGAAGTTAAAATTAATTAATTAAATTTAAATGTATTTATTAAATTTATTTATTTTGAGTGTGTCCTGTCGAATCTAGATTCCTAATTTAATTTGTAAAGTTTCTACATTTCTACATACATTTCTACATAAGGTCCGAAAGGATGTAGTATTGCTTTGAAAACAGCAGGTGGAACTGTTGATTTATAAATGTAGACAATCAGGGTAAAACTTACCCACATAAGACAGTGATGAGTAAGACGAAGCCAGACGCTGATATCTTCTGTTTCAGTTTTGGTGCTCTGTTCATTCATTAACTCTCATAACTGCATCTCATGTCTTCGATGATTTAGTGAAGGGCAGCCTTTCTGATGTAAACCTCTGCAATATTAGTGCATGTGGAGGAAAATAATTTCACTGCTATAATATTGCTGTGCATTTTGATGACACTGCTTTATTTCAGCAGAGAGACCTTTTGCTGTTATCATCTAAAATCATCTGCTAGCCTAGACACCCCACCTTGTGATTAGGCCAGTATTAAAGGCTCAAGGTTGGGTCAAATGCAGAAGGGGGAAGAACTGCTAATAAAATATGCAACACTTACACAGTCACACACAAAATTGCTTTCACTATCAAGCACCATATAATTTTGTTAATTCAGATAATAGAGGCAAAGACATTATACCGAAGAAAAAAACTGGCCCATTTGTAACACTTAATTCGATCATGGGTGAGGTCTTTGACATCTATTGTTTTTATAATGAGCTAATTATATTTATATCCCCTAATCCTGAGGCCAAAAACACGTACCTAAATGAAAATGTAAACTTAAACGCAAGGACACGAACGAAAGCCTGAGCTGCAATCCCACCACGCGGTCAAGGGGGCGATAGAGTTACATTCAAAAGACTTTCACATTAAACCGGATGTGTTTCGACCAAAATTTATGCAAGTACGC